TAAACAATCATAACACGTCTAAGAGAACAAGTCTGGCTCTGGCTGGTATGTGAATAGTGCGTAATGCGTACAGAACTTTACGAAAGAAAAAATGTAAATACATGACTTCAGGTACTACCGTCTAACTATATGTTCCTTAACCAATGTTATTCTACCGGGAAACCCAGTGAGTACGGCTTGATAGACACTTTCTTTTAATAATTAGCAAAAGGTGGGAAATAAGCTGGCTCCTGTAATTGCAAATCAACGTGTGGCTGAACAACTTCTATATGGGGGATATTTGAAATAACGATAAGGAAGCAAATGAGTAGTTTTAGTAAACCCGTCGAAGGACAGTAATGGACTTATTGAAATTAGATACTTGCTTAGAGAAAAAACATAACAGCACATACCAGATACTCTGATATATCGAAACAATTAAAGAACAAACAGCTGGTAAACGAACAGGCGCGAACTTATTGAATATTTATGACGACTTGATAAGGGCGGCACCATCTGCTTTGAACTTTCCAACTTCCGCGGGAAAGTTTTCCAATAGCCAATAAGAACTTTGATTCAATACCATTTAATAATTACCGTAAAGACAGTTTTGCGTTTGTTTTTAATTGGAAAATTACAGAGAATTAAGTTTAAGGTGGGTTACTATGATGTGTCCTTACTCAACGGAACTGAACAGAGGAAAACAGACCTACCAATGATCAAGTTCCTCCAGTGAAACAGCTTTTAAGGGATGTCTTTCAGTTGTTTCAGCAGTTTCAGCAGCACCATGTAAAGATCTAATATTTGGATATGGAAAGATATTTAGAAGTTAGAATTTCAAACATCAATTCAAATAATGTCTTTTCGTAAAGAAGAGAGGCCTATATACCGTATTATTTTTATCTCTCAATAAAGAATTAAACTGTTCATTGAAATTATGATTAACACTAATAGATGGCATTTTTATAAAACGAGGTACAATCGTGCAAATATACAAATGTTTGTATCGACAAGTTATCTGGTCAGGTGGGCATAAGTGAAACTAAATTATGATAGCTCACTAGCGCCCACCTTTTATCCCATTTCCTGTTTCCACGTATATTTTACATATTGTCTGAGAGAACCAATCGATAGCACCGCCTCTCACCGTGCTAGACATCCTTGTTTGACTATACAATATACAGAAGCTAGGTATTCGGCGTAATCAATACTATCGGGACAATTCGCGCAACTCAAATCATCAGTTAGAAATAAACGATTAATAGCGAAATCATATTTGATAATATAATTCTGAATGCTTTACAATGATATCATGAGATTTTACTTGACGAGAAAAATAAAAAATGCTTCAGTAAATAGGGATTTTTTATCCTATTTGCCTTGAAGGACCATTTACAGATTCACCGGAGTTGAGATGGCCAAACGCAGATGGCGCTTTACCTCGTTTAAAAGTAACTAGGCTCGAGGGCTCTCTTAGGAGCCTCGGCTGTTGCTGTTAATTGTTTATTTTTACCGTTTTGGAACTAATAAATAAATTAGTTATTAGTATATTTAACATGTAAAAAAGTTGTGCTTTCGGTGTATATCGACAGATTAAATACTCCATTGCATCATACAGAATATGCCATCGATCTTAGTTAACAAGTTGAAGTGGAACATCCTTGAAATGACCTTCAGTACGATTGAAAACAGCGGTTTAAAAATCAATAGATAGCTGGGCTATAATTTTCAATTACAGGCAAAAGTTGTCAACATAAGATATTGTAGGCAAAAAACCAATTGCCCCCTGTGAGGTTTGAACTCACGACCCCCGGTTTACGAGACCAGTGCTCTGCCACTGAGCTAAGGAGGCCTTATTATAAAGGACTAAATACTGGAAACATATTTCTCAAAATTATACAGATTTAAAGTGTTTTTAAATCAAAAGAAATATGTTATCATAGAAATATCCCTATAAAAAGGTTTCACTTGTATTGTCCTTCATTTTAAACATAAACCCTATTCCAAAAACATCACCCCCTCATAAATCTGCAATTATATGCATACTTCGGACTAAAAGTAAAAAGAAATAACCCGTGCCTTTATAAGATAATTAGTTTGAAAACTCAAGCCTTAGAAGTATCGAAGATTTTTATATGACTTAATAACGTGAAGTGAAAACTTTGCATCCCTTTTTAAGAAATCTGCACTGAGGGATGAACGTGGAATTTGACACAGTTAAAGTAGATGAGATGCGCTGAAAGCTTTTTTACAAACTGCACGTAATAAATTAAATTCATATTTTATTACGTAAAGCGAGAGTTTTGCAGCCCTTTTGATGAAAACTGCACTATTAGATGTACGTGGAACTTGACATAGTTAATTTTAATGTAGAGAAGTGTAGAGAGATTTTTTTACAAAATGCACTAAAGTAACTATTAACATTAAGTTAATTAAAATTACGTTACACATATTACTGTTTAAACGAAAACATACAAAATTGAAGTAATGATCTTTCGTCTAATTAAAAGGCTTTTATGATAACATTCTCTTTAGATGAATGGATAAATAATCGAACAAATGAATACTAGAATTTAGGTGTTTTATTAATTTTTAGTATTTATTATCGTTGGTTTTTATAACGCACAATAAATTTAATAAATAAGCATTGGTGAAATTACTTTTTTTGTTTAAAGTTTTATTTTTTGTTACTTTTTGGACAACGATATTCATTGGAGTATTGTGTAGTTAAATTAGAATAATAATAGAAACAATGTTATAACGATCTTAATAAAAAATCAAGAAATAATCGATTCAAGGTATAGGAGAACAACTATTCAGAATAAAAAATAATTATGCCATCGAATTGTCAAACTTATAACGGATAAAGTGAAAATATAACATAATATTCTAAAGTATATAATCTCAACATAATATACATTTAAAAGAAAATAACTTTTACCATGAAAAAAGATGGTGATGCCCCCTGTGAGGTTTGAACTCACGACCCCTGGTTTACAAGACCAGTGCTCTGCCGCTGAGCTAAGGAGGCTTCGATAGTATTACTATAAAATAGGATACACTTGATAGATTTCGATACCAATTTAAGCTTGTAAATCTTGTAATTACGTATAGAAACAAACAGTTTCCACCATAACGTAATGTACTACAATAGTTTTCTTCGTTTCATAAATTTGGAAGCAAAAAAAAATCGAAAGACAACACGTTATAAATGAAAAAAGATAGGACGTTTAAACTAATAGGCTAAGATCCAAAGCTTTTTCCTTCCCTATTAACTATTTGATGAACAGTTATTAAATTTAAAATTTAATTAAATGCGGATTGTTAAATGAAAACAAAATATTCCCGGAATATGAAATAAAGGGTTTCCTGATTTGATCTCGAGATGTACTTGTTTTACTGACCGTACCTATAAACCATTATGCCGGACGAACAATGAGTTTTGTTCTAAGCTTTTTAATTTATTATTATAATACCATGAGTAAGGTCAAGATGTTTCCTGTGCATTATACACTGTAATACGTTATTTGGTACAGTCCTGGTACCCCTCTAACAATCCATGTTGAGGAACGATCCTATCATCTTGTCGTGATATACGCAGAATCTGTTAAAAGTATGTAACATTGTAACTATCTTACTAATATTATAAATGCGAAAGTTATTTTACCTACATTAAGTTATTTATATTGAACTCTTGTACGCTTGCAAACTTTTATAAATGTTATGTTTAGTATTAGTTAATTACCTTAAATAAGTAAATTGTTAATTTTTATTAAGGTAAATATTCTTAAACCATAAAGTTGGATAGATGGATGGATAGGTGTTTATTAGAGTTTGTAGCTTAAAACGCTAATAGAATTTAGATAAAATTTGGCATAAATGTAGAGGACAAGAACATATAGCTTACGGAGCCGCGTGCGAAAGCTAGTATAGAAGAAAAGCCTTTTTAAATAATGCGACGTCATAATATGCCTTAATAAACTAAATAGCCTCGTGTTTGCAAAACAGCAAAGAGAACACCGCAATCAACTCAATCAACAATGATTATGGAAAAAAGAATAAACACTTAGAATATGATGCACAGCATTTTTTTTTTCTTACATAAAGAAAACAAGTACATGTACTAAGTTTGAGTTTCAGAAAAATACTACATGCGTTAAAAAAAACGGTACTCCCTGCAACGATCGTATTTCCAAGCCTAAACATAACACAAAAGTCTATATAAAATCATCTTCTGTCAAAACACGAAAAGGTATTAATGTTAGAGCGATCGCCCCTTTAGCTAACGAACGTTCAGAAAAATTGTCCAACAAAAACTTTTAATTGTAATTGCACGAATGCACATCTAATGAAAAGGGTTTTAATGAACTGACGATATGCGACCCTAGGTAACCAGTAAACGCCCCCACATACCTGACCAACGTAATTGAACCTCTCTTTCATTACTTTGGTTACTAATCAGAGATCATCTAGTATGGACGTATCATATCACAGGGTTTTACAAATTTAAAGGTATCACGCCTTACGAGTTGCTTTTGTAAACAATATTTTAATCGGTAGGGTTTTAAGTTCATTAGAAAACGAACACGGCGGTGAGTTGGTGTCATATATGATGGTAAAAAAATACCTACCCTTACTTTACGCATAGCTGAAAAAAATATGGAGAAGGACTATTTCGAATTATAAGTATAAGTTTTATCCAACATTTCTTTTTTCAACATTTCTTTACATTTTGTTGAACGTATCGAATTGATTCAGCACGGTCGACTTATATTTGAACAATTTGAATGCCGTAATTAGATTATCAAAATACTATTATTAATTCTTCAAAGATATGTTTTAAAATAAATAAACATGTTATAGTACATTTCATTAATTTGATACTTACTTTGCCAAATGATCGATTTCTAATAAAAAAGTATATAAAAAAAAATTCCATGTCCATACTATTACAACAGGAGGAGTGCGCTACCTGGCGTTAAAGCACGGCAGTGGAGGTAAAAAGTTTATTTGAAAGTTCTCTTTCAACGAGTTCGCTCGTAGTGCACTATGATGAAATTTTAATTTTTTTTCTAAATATTCCCTCCGTGACCAAAGGTGAGATTAATTTTGTTAAAGAATACTGTTTACAATAAATTTTATAAAACGGTTATTTTTTTAGGAGACCTTTTAAATATATTAAAGTATAATTCGAACGAAATATTTTTTCCTACATTTTTTTATATTTCATTTTTATTAATTATTAAAATAAAAAGTGTAAATGAAAATGTCAGTTTTTTTAAACAAATCATAAAAAAATAATTATGCGTAAAGCGAATTAAATTGGTTTTAAAAAAATTACATTTTTAGAATTCAGCGTTGGTTAAATTGTTTATTTAGATATTTTTTTTTAAGTGAAATTAAATTTGCACATACAGTACCTTTACCCAGTGTTATTCTTTTGTTAAGGATTCGATTTCCATATTGTAGTTTTCATTTTGTAGTTTAATCTAGACGTGTGTTTAATTGCCTTTTTTTACTTTTATGTTTTCATGTTCCACTTCGTGTGTTACAAAGAATTTGTGTCCAAATGGTGTTTTAATCGAAGCTAAATTTATTTAAATTACGCATAAAGATTTAATTATAAAAGCAAGAGAAATAATAAATAAATGAAACATTCTTGATAATCCATAATTTGGAACAAATTTTTTTTTTAATTTAAAACATTAGTTATTGGACAAAAACATTTTTTTAACTAATTTAACTTGGTATGGTACTTAGAAGGCGCTAAAAGTGTTGAGTGTTCACTAACATTAGCTCAGTTTCCCTTTCCCGAGGCAAAACAAAATATGACTCACCCCAAAATAAGGGAGTTTGCGTGTACAAATGCACTTCTTGAGTTCGCTGTAACTTGAACCCCAAAGCCCTCCTGGCGCTTTACTAATTGGATTAAAAGGGAAGCCGAGCTTAGTGGACGGGAGATCATTTTATGCTGGCGATTATTAAAACGTAAATATGCTGTGCGTACAATTCTTTATTAAATCGTTTGGGTATGATTCACTGTTGTTATCACAGTTATGTTCCAGAACTAATATTAAATGATGTTCTATATCTTATTTTGTCTTTGTTACAGATCACGATGATGTTTTTAAGGGTTCTCATCTATACCGTATGTTTTGTTGGGGCGTTTTGTTTAGAAGCGGGTAAGTATAAAAACTTTTTAAAAACTATTTTATTCTACTGATTACAGAATAATCTATACTATTATAATAAAGCGTAAACATACTTCTTTGTTGCCTAAGATGTCAGCAATTACAGCATATTTTTGAATATATTTTTTTTATAATAAAAAGTCCTACACTTGCGTCACGCTATAGGCTATATATTTTAACGCCATTAAACTTAGGGGGTAAATATTTTGGATAAAGACACTAATGTGGGAAAGAGATCATAAGTTGCTGCCAACATCAAGGAAGCAAGGTTGCCATGCTTTGTCATCATGACATGACATGATCATTTTGACATTTGTAATTGATAATTTGACAAATGTAAACGATAAAATAACATTTTCATAATTCCATGCGGATGAAGTCGCACGGGAACAGCTAGTATTACATATTTTATTCCTAAACACATACATATTATCTGTGCTATTATGATCTCGGGTAGTTAACAAACCTACACTTACATTATATTCTAAAATGCCATATAATTAACAACTGGACCTATTGGTGCTTATAATTAATAATATTAACTTACTAGTTATAACTAGGGTTGTAACTAAACTCGCCTCCGCCTCCGCAAGCACGTAACATTGACATGGATTCACAACGCTTCCTATTTTTTGAAAGCATATAAGCAGTTTAAACTAACAATAAAAATTACAACGAACAAAAATCAAAACTTCTTTATATAAATCACCTTTTCACTTTCATTTTCGCTTCCGTTAGCCTCCGCATCCACAGAGCCGAGGTATTTTACATCCGCTCTCATTAAAAGACCTCAGTTACAACCCTAGTTATAAGTGATACAGTGAAGTAAGTGATAATTATGTTTCAGACGTGGTGGTGTTAAGAGCGGTGCGGGGGCGGGACGCTCGGCTGCCGTGCGGCCAAGGGAAAGTATTTCTAGACGGCCTTGATTCCTACGTACTATGGCTGAAAAATGACAGAGATTTCCTCTATCGCTTTCCCAACGAAAATTCGGGAAGTAGGTGAGCAATCTACGGGACTTTCGCAGTCTAAAGTTTGGTTTTTTGACGATAATTTTTAAAACTGAGTTTTACTGCTCCTAGCAATTATCATTTAATACTCATGTTGGGGGGTTGTGCAAAAATATGACGTACGTCATCTTGTAGCAGCGACCATTTTTGATTGACAAGTAGCTACAGTATATCTCTTCTAAAATCGTAAAAAAAAAAGATTTGAATTTTTATTTGTAGTATAATATAAATCTTATAACATCGTTCTCAGCTTTCTTTATCTAGTAAATAATACAGAGAATAATAATAATACAGGTGGCGAAGTTGTTAAGCGGCTGTCTGATGCAGTGCATAATTTCGCGTAGATTTGATCTCCAGTTTCGATTTCTGATGACTAGCAATATTTTTCAACTGACGAATTTCACAATAAGTACAAACATACATCAATCCGTCGTTCTTACGTTGAAGGATAACATCGTCATACAATCTGTACAAATCTGCGAAGAAATACAAAGATAAATATGTTTGAAGTCAACTAACACACAATCGGCTATCGTGGTTAACTGATCATGATCTGATCTATGGTGTAGCTTGTGTTTAAGCTCGGGCTTATATATCATATACATATGCGCACCAAGTAAAACTTACAAAGATTTTCATCAACTTGTCCTCGTCTATACGGGGCATCGGCACAGTATTTAGTAATTGGATATAAATAATCAAAATCTTGATGCAACCTGCACAAATCGGCGAAGAAATTCAAAGATATGTGTGAAGTCAACCAACCCGCAGTGGGCCAGCGTCGTTGACTATGGCCTAGTCACCCTAAGTTAGGGTAGGTTCCGAGCCCCTCGGTGGGGACTTATAGTGAGCTGGTGACGATGAATTAAAATCTTATAAGGATAATGCCTATCGCAATCTGATATGAGGAAGTTATAACTTATAACTATATTATATACTAACTGTTGCTTGCGACTTGGTCCGCGTGGAATTAAAAAATATAGCCTACGTTACTCACCGATTACGTAGCTTTTTAATGGTGAAAGATTTTTTGAAATCGGCCAAGTAGTTTTTGGGGCATTTCAATAAAGTATTGTAAGTTAAGTAAAAATACATAATTTTCCTCTTTATAACGTTTAGAAGATGATCTTAGGACATCGCTCAAATGATATGACATAAGCTTTTTCTTGAATCTCAGATGAACATTGTGTTAAATCATTTTTTTACATAAATATTTTATAATGGAAATCAATGAGTTTGATTTCAACATTCTTTTGAAATGTCATGGATATTTTTTAAAATGTCATCAGAATGTTACGGTACACATCATCGTTTTAAAGCGAAGAATCGATTCGACATAAGTGGCTTCAAGGCGAAGGTAAAGGGTGCTATTAGACGACGATATGTCCACCCTAGGTGAATCGTACCACCCACCGCAACGAACAAACGTTTCATCTCATTAACAATTAGTCAACTTCAGTTTACATTTTAATTGAATACACAGTATTTAGTGATATCATTAAATTGAAATGATTTATAATTCATGATTTAAATGAAATAGTTACTTTAGTATGAAGCGAAGTTAAGGAAAGAAAATGTTCTCTCCCTTCTATTACGGCGTTCATTTCCAGATATAGCTTTACCGGAGCCCTCTTTTTTTTGGAGGAGTTTTTTATACAAGTAAGATACTTTATGAGTAAGACTTCATTTTTATATAAAATCCATTGGACTAATTATTTTCTTAATACAAAGCAGTCTTTTAACTTTCTAGGTATATTATTATATCGGCTTTTATTTTTTTTGGATCTATTAGTATAATATTTCTTAAGGCTGTCGTTGAAAATCAATTGAATAGGCAATTTCGTCTCTAAACTACATCAAGCTGGTTCAATTTCGATCTCGACTTTCGACTATTTCGACTATAGGATCAGTTCTTTTTTCAGATACATGTAAGGTCTCTTTACAGGTCGATGAACCGGGACCATATTTTCGGAACGTCTTGCGAATCCGGGACATGTCATGATGACACCTCACTCTTGCTGAAACGCGTTTCGGACCAAGATGCAGGCATTTACAGATGTCGTGTACACTACCAAGCCTCTCCTTCTCAGGATTATGTGATCGACGTAAGGCTGGTTGGTGCGTATACTTAACAATCAAGCAGTATATGCTTTTAAAATTGAAAATTTATTTCTCTAGAAAAAATTATCTTTACTTTTTCTCTAGAAAGTCCAGGTATGCCAAGAGTATACAGCGATTCAGGCATTCCAATCAAGCAGGGTTACTATGGTCCCCTCAGTCTAGGGTCTGATCTAACACTCATCTGTGAAGTTGATGATGGTAAGATATTAGTATTAACATAACTAATTCAAATAAATTACGAGCTTCTTTTTGAGAAGGCGAAAGATGAAGTATATATAACACCGAAACCAGGAATACGGATTCATAATGAAATGCAGATATTGATGATGATAAAATTTCCAGAGCAACCGGATACATTGGTGTACTGGCGTCGTAACGGCGTAGTGATAGAGCGGGCGCACGAGGCACGGCCGGGCGTGCTACGGGCAGAGGTAGTCGTGCGCAACGCGACGCGCAGCGAACTCGATGCGCATTACGAATGCCTTGCACAGAACGCTGATGTCACGGAACCCCTCACTGCCAGTGTGGTTATTAGGATGTACTGTAAGTGCTTCACGTACTTAGTTCTCCAATTCTTAACAGCAGATTAACTTTGTAAACGTTCAAGGGTCACTTTGTTGATATTGTCACTGACGATAGAGATGGTCTACCAGAGTTTATTTTACTTGTTACAGTACCGCCCATTAGTGTCGAGATTCGTTTAAACCACAACTTTAACTTCGAAGCCGGTCAGCCCCGAGTCGTCGACTGTGTCGTGGTAGGTTGCGTGCCGCCACCATCGGTTACTTGGCATCTAGGAGATAATCTGCTGCGACCCAGTGTACACAAAGTAAGCTTCTAGCTTTATCAGTTTCATATCATTTGACCTAAGTTATTCGTTTATAAATATAACTAATTAATAACTGACTGAATTGAGGGAGAATACAAATCATGGCCCATCATTAAGTATGCGCTTTATCGAGCAGTTTAGTCTACGTAGATTATATTGGAATTGATGTTTAGTTAGGCAAAATGTTGACAAGTAAGCTTCTGATAAACATTTAGGTTACAATGTCAAATGATTCTATACTATACTTAGTTACTATTGCAGGAATTACACGACGGCAACTACACCGTATCCTCACTGACTTTGGCACCATCGCTGAGAGACAACGAACACAAGCTGGAGTGCAGAGCACACAATTCACACTTGCCTGATGAATTGTTTAAAGACGAGGTCACTCTCAATGTTGGATGTGAGTGAATGATCTTCTTCGTATATATTAAGGGGGGTCCCATTTACAGATTTGAAACAAAATTTTCGAGCTTGCATGAGACTTTTTTGGTCTACAGTTTTAACATAGATGTCTTTGTCTCTATTGCTTTTTTATTTCCAAATTCAATTTTGGTGTACTTATAGTTTACAATAAGATTATAATACTATTTCAAGTACTTACTAGTAAATTTAGTTCCTTGATTGCATATTGTATAGATCGGCCGTTATGCCTAACATCTCGCGAAGAAACAGTCGGCGCAATACAACGTCAGGCGGAGACTTTGACGTGCGTCGTCGAGGCCTCACCAGAACCTCTGCAGTTCAGCTGGACTTTCACTGATTCCAAAATTTTATACACCAGCGTCAAAGTAAGCTATTTAAAATATCTTACTAATTAATTAAATGCGTAACTTTGGATGAGTAGATGGATGTTTGTTAGAGTTTGTAGCCTAAACTCCAAAACGGATCTCGATGAAATATGGCAGATGTAGAAAATAGTCTTGAAGAACATACGGGCTACTGGACCACGTTTTTTTTAATTCCGCTTGGCCATAGTTGCTGGCTAAAGCTATTTTTTAATATTATTCTGATTAAAATACATATATACAAGTACCATGTTTCGTGGAAACCTTTTCAGTAATTTTGAATTTCTACAACAATGTAGAATAGAATAGATACCGGAAGCTGAGATATAACTTTTCTTGATGTTCCATTGTTAACAGAAAGTACCAGGACATCATCATCGTTACTCCTCAACTCTAACATGGCTACCTCAAGATGGTGACTTCGGACTACTCTACTGTCGAGCTACAAACAGTTTTGGGGAACAGAAGAAGCCGTGCACCTATTCGATAACGGCTGGCGGGCCGCCACAATCTCCCGACTGTGGTATACAACGCTCATATCCGCACACTGTACGCGTCGAATGTCAAAAAGGTAGTCTACCTTGATTAGAAGTTTTTTTACTAGTATGTGGCAAAGATTCAACAATTCACTTCATTTTTATAAGGACTTTGCACCTTGTATTACACAAATCCAAACTATTCTTTAATTCTTGTTTGAATGTTTTCCATTACAAAAGATTCTTTATAATTATATCAAATATAAATTAAATACTTATACTAATGTTAATTTTAGGATGGGATGGAGGTAGGCCTCAAATCATCCATTTGGAATTATTCGGCAGCGACGGGCGACTGCTGCACAACGTATCCAATGCTGCTGGCCATTTCCACTTGTCTGATGTAGAGGAAGACAACAATTTGACTGCGATACTTTACTCAACCAACATTAGAGGAAGGAGTTTGTCTCTATCCATGTACCTACAAGCTGCATCAACGTTGAACGCCTCAGGTACTAATATGCCTTTCAGTAATATAAAACGAACAATCACAATTTAATAATTTTATCCACGATTATTTTTTCATCGAAATTTGTATTTATGTTTTAAGCTATAACAGAACAACCTTCAGTTACATTGAAAGGGCAATGGTTGCAAGCGCTAGCGGGAATGTTAATTATGATCGTAGTTGTCGGCGTAGTTGCTCTGTGCTTGCGAATGAGATCTAAACATCAAGACTCTGAAAGCCCCGAGGTGGTTCTCCGAACTGACGGTATTTAATAATGTTCTTTAATCTTGTCTACTTTATAGGTTATCATAATTCACAAAGAAATTATCTAAATGAACAATTTATTCATATAAAATATTAATTATTTCTTACAAATTGTAGGTATATTCCACCGTGAACCAGATTTTGAACGTGAAGAACGGCTGCTTCGTACAACTAATATTACGGTCAACCAATTAGCTGCTTGCCAAAACGTGAGTAATCACCGTTGATAAAAGCTACCGAAGCTTCAAAATTTTTAACCATCATCGTCATCATCGTCATTCGGCACCCTACAAAAATCTCCTTTACTAGACGATGTCCTTATGACTAAATTTCTTATATTTCTGGAATACAAAAAATGAAGGCTAAAAATTCAAATAAACTTTTAACACATTGGTGCCATACTTAAAAATAGAATATGGCCGTGGGCTTCAATTCCCTTGTGCACGAATCTCATCAGAGATACTTATTACATACTTGATCATTAATTCATCGTATCATACTGCAAAAGTAATATCACGGTATCGCAATGGCATTTTCAGCCCACCGATATTAATCATAATGAATCTACCTGGGATTATCTCATAAGAACAGCTTTTGATGACCTTCCGCAAGGCGTTTACTCGGAAGATCAACTGTATGCACACTTTACTAAAACATGGATCCGCCTTCTACAGGTGACAAATAGTAATCTAGTTAAGTAGTATGGCACGTAGATTTTGATTCTTCTTGGTGCAGTATAGTTAATGATGATATGTGATCATACTTTTTTAATTTAAATTTTTTTTTTAAATTAAGGGTTTTTTTATTTTCAGCAATATGCATCCTCGCCTGTGCCATGTCGGGTGGTAGTTGGATGTGGATCGCGATTGACACAAGATTCATGTCCCACAAGTCAGCACTCTTACTTCGTTTAATTTGAACACAAACTCTATGGTTTTTATTGATATCGGAAAACATATATTAAATCATTAATCGTGTATATCGCTCGATCACAAGGATAAAATAACAACACGCTTCTTGCTAAATCTAGTGAAACTAGGAATATGAGCAAATATTAGTAGCATGCGAAGGGTTTCAGATAAGAGAAAACCAACAAAAAAAAATATAAACATATGCCGAAAAATATGAAACTATTTTTTTTGCGTATATTGCAAAGCGGTGTAAAGAATGAGCGGATTGAGGTGTACCTTGGTCCGGGTGTATACTTTCATGAGTTTGGGTTAGGCTTTAATTTTGAAGTCTTAAGAGAATCACATTATAGTAGAGCAAGCCAAGCTTTTTGACAGTACTATCACTTAAGTTATATTGTATTCTTTAGACACAAATACATATAGTACACAAAATGTCGTTTCATGTAAATAGAGACGGGCAAAGACGTAAAATGTATAAAAAAGGTGTAGTTCAATGCAAAGCATTTTATGTTATAACTCACAAAATAGTGCAAGATTTAGTAGAAAATTACAAGTTTTTAGTAGAAAAACAAATGTTAAGTATAGTTACAGTAATTATTAAAAAAAAATAACTGATTAAATTCAAAAAATCTTTAAATACTTTTTATAAATCTACACATTTTAAACTATTTGATTTGCATTTATAATTTAATTTAAGAACTCATGTTGTTATTGTAATGAATACAAAAACACCCTGTAGATAATGAATATTTAAAAACTTGTACTTCATATATTTTAGTAAAAATATAATATTTAATGGTTTGTTTCATTTTCCATCATTAATATAAATTGCATCTTATTTTATTATATATTGCATTATGTTTTGTTTTCAAATAATTAATGCGTATAACGCGCCCGTATCGCGCTTCTCGCAACTCATCCCTCCTCCCTAGACATCACGCCACGCAACTCGCCCTGGAAGGAGTCCAACCTCCGTGAAGTTAGCCAACTCGCTCCCTCTTTTTTCACTTTTTTTAAGCAAATCGTTTGATATCGCTAGAAAATCGTTAGAGAGAAATTGAGAGGAAAGAAATATCGTTTGAGAGTTCTTAGTTTTTCTGTAAAAAAATTTTGAAATCCCGACATCGAAAATTTTTGAATCGATTTTATTTTTCTCGGAATAAAAAATGAAAGTAATGGACTTAGAAGGATACAATTTTCCTCGTCCTTAGAGAATAGTCTCAGAATGATTGTGAAAAGAAAATAATCGTTTAAGAGTCCTTAGTTTTTCTATATAAAAATGTTGTATTTCGAAGTCGTTAACAGTCGAATCGATTTTACTTTTCTTCGAATTAAAGATGAAAGTAACGGGTTTAGAAGGATCAAATTTTTCTCATCGTTAGAAAATCGTATCTCTCTAACGATTCTCAAACGATTTGCATAAAAAAAGGGTTTGAGGGGCTAACTTCACGGAGGTGTCGGTATAGTCCTATATGATTTTTTTGGCACCCGACGATTTTTAAAAATGACAATTAAATGTCAGGGTATCAGTGACATAGGTTGTTAGTTCACTTTTCGTTATTACTTTCAGCATTTTGTGGGGTTTTTTAAAGTTATTCCATGAAAAAAAGCGATGAAAGTGCTTAAAAATAGTATCACAATGGTCTTTTCGAAATTGGGAGATATTATCGCGAAAATAAAATATGAATCATTTTGTGTCTGTTGTAACGCAAAATGTGATACCATTTGTTAAGTCAAGGTTTTCCCTATCCTCAAGAGGATGCATGTGTAATATGTTGAGTTTTATAATTTCAAAAAATTGTTAAATAGTAATTGACTTATAAATATATTTCTGATGGTTGTTTTATTACCTATTCAATTCAAATTGCAGGGACCGAACCCTTAGCTGTAATGTGTTTTGTGCAACTGGAAGTGTTTCCTTTATGACATAAAACGAACAAGTATTTTGGTTTTTATCATACTTATTTAATTACGTAATAAGGAAATTACTGTGTGTACTCAGAAATATAACGAGAAACTGGTTGTCAAATAATTATACCACATTGTTTCGTTCGAACTACGGGACGTACCACATAGTTTGAACTGTGCGTTGATTGTCAACAACAATAATTAAGATTTCTATTATTCCCTAGACAAGCACTGATTTTCCAATTACTATGTATGGTACAATTACTTCCTTTACAATTTGGGTTTTCGTTTTCAAAACGGAAGAATTTTCCTTAAGTGTGGAAACATTACGTTGTTGGTAACCCTAAATGCTCAGAAGCGCCCTCCTGTCAACGTCAAAAAGGTGCCACAAGATTGCACAAGATCCTTGCAGGAGTATATTCACTTATTATTTGACTATGGTCAAGTTCATTTCCATGACAAGTTGACAGCTATTAACCAATCACAGTTTTGTACGGTTCTTAAACTCGGTTATTCGTGGTTATTATTCACCTAACCTGTTAACTGTTAATTATTACGGTTACGTTAAATAGCTACATCTCTAATCTCCGAAATAGGTAATGTCTTGTTTAGTAATTTACTTTAACTTATCGCTTACAATATCGCCTGGCTTCAATTATAATTGTATTTGTTGTAATTGAAGAGAGATTAGTAAAACGTACCGTATTGTTTAATTGATTGTAAGTTATTTAGTTACATTTGTTTATATCATGGTTAGTTTGTACCACACGCACTATGAAAATTACCTACTTTTCGTTTATTCGATTGCATTTTGTACGGCAATTTTATATTTAACCATTTTTATCTCTAAAAGTACAAATTGTGTAAACTACATATTAAAATCGACTGCGTACTATCATACTCTTTTGTATTGATATAACTAACAATAATCCAGCATGCTTCACTCTGGAAATACAGTTGAATGTATGTGAGATGTACGGATTATTCGACAATAATCCGAAAAACAAAATTTAATTTATAGTTTCTCTACTCTGTGTTTAAAGTAAGTGACATCATGGTTTTTAAGAAAGCGCTTATTAGATGTAATATTTAGTTAATGGACGATTAGTAACTACGACATTTCTTATATACGTAATCTTTTTTTGTATTAGGTAGAATTAGGTTGATATATTATTACACATAATTCATCATGTATATTTTATTTAAAATGCCTAAATTCTGCATTGCAATTTACTGTTCCAATACTCTTTAATGAGCTATGTGTAAAGAGGTCCCCAACCAAGTAGGTACCAGCAATCAGTATCAGGTTTTCCTTTATGTTTGTTTTTAGCAATCCATATTATACAATTTCGTGATTTCTAAAAAAATACATTTCTGATGAAAATATGATATAGTCTAATGTTATTGTCACATAACCGTTGGGCTTACTGTACTATGATGCCATGTGTTTCTGTTAATCTAAATTATTACTACAAAGTTTCTTGGCGAAAATGGAGATCTTTCCAATTATACAATCAAATATATAAAACAAACAATAACTAGCATTGTTATTAAAGGCTATAATTATGGAGTATGACTCCATAGACAATGGAACCTTTTAGTTTCTGAAATATTAACCCCAATTTTTGTTTATTACAGCTTACAACACTTACTGGATTACTGGAAATTAAACTCATATGGATAAAGAGTAAGTATTGCATAATTTGATTGGAAATAACAAGTATCATAATGTAATGATTTGTTTTTTTATTTGTTAAGCAAAATATAAGCTCAGTCAGGTATGTAAACAGGATTTGGTTTCAAAACCATGTGTCCACTTCTTTGTCAATGAAATGTATTCATGGTTGGAAACATACGGACATGCACAAGTTTCTATAGCTTGGCAAATTAATACCTTTTTATGCAGCTAAGTGTACTGCCAGAATTTGTATATTATATTACACCAGGAAATAGTTTAGTTTACAAAACCTTGTATGTGGGCATTACCATTTTTAACTAATATTCAAAATTTTTCAGGGTTGTTAATAATGTTGAAGCTTCGGAAAGTGAAGAATTAGCGAAGAAAAAAAAGAAGAGCAAAAAACATAAGAGAAAGAGGAAAACAACCAGTAATGATGATGACATATCCTCCAAGAAAAGGAAGAAATCAAAGAAAGAAAAAATCAAAAGTCCAAAGCCAGAAAGTCAAACTTCTCTGTCCGATGTTGAAGAATTAGTAACAAAATCACAGCAACAGACGTCTCATAAAAAATCGTCACATTCCTCACCTGTTACAGAGAAAGAATCGATAACAAATAAAGCACCAAAGGCAAAGAATGGAGATGCAGGATCAAATAGAGAAGTAAAGAATAAACCTAATTCAAAATTGAATAAAAACGATGGTTTGGAAACAATTTCATCGAATTCTGGAACCGAAAATTATCAAGAAGATTGTGCAAGTCCTGAATTGGCCTTAATAGAAGATGATTTAAATCTTGAAGAATTGATGAAACAAAAAGAACTTTTGCAAGCTCGTTTAGTTGCCTACTATTCAGAAAAGAGTGAAGATGAGGGGGAATGCAAGGATACAAATGATTCAGAAGCAACTGATACTAAAGCAACAAATGAAGAAAGTCGCACACCAACACTTAAGAAGATACATAAAGACCGTGATCACAATACAAAACTAACAAGTAAGCACAAGTCAAGCAAAGAACATTCTTCGGAAAGGAAAACGGATAAACACACAAACAAACACCATAAAGAAGATTTAAGAGATGTGATAAAAAGAGAGAAAAAAGGCGAGAGAAGAACTGAAGAATGGAAAGAGACTAGAGACCATCGTACGCGGAAAGACTTGGAACGCTATACACCTACTTACAGAGAAAGGGAACGAGATCGCGAAAGAAAACGTGAAAGAGAAAGGGAATCAGACCGAGAAAGAGAACGGGAGAAGGAACGAGATCGTGAAAGAATGAGACGATCATTGGCATACAAAAAGAAGGAAAGTGAAAGAAGTAGCCATCGTTCAAGGGAAAGGTATTCACCTGTTGGTCGGCGAGATCGACGAGCGGAATATCGTAGATCCCGCAGCCGAGACCATAGAGCACGTTCAAAAGATTCCAAATTAGATTACAGAGATAGACATAGGGTAGGTTATAAGGTAACTATAATTATATTGAATACTAGCTTTCGCCCACGTCTCCGGCCTTATGGAAGTAAAAAAAAAACAAGTAGCCTATGTGTTCTTCTAGACTATCCTCTTGATCTATACCAAAGTTCCTTGAAATCTGTTTGGCCGTTTAGGCTACAAACTCTAACAAACATCCATCTATCTAAACTTTTCCAATTATAATATTAAGTATGATTTACAATATACTTGCTTCATTATTTCTTACCTAATTATGAATAAATCATGGCTAATGTTATGTTTCTTAATTCAGTAAAATATATTATTTAATTTTAGCAATCTTCGCATGAAGCTTCACAAACTATAGTTAGTTCAAGTGATGAAGAACTGGATATATCTGTTCAAACTGATGAAGAGGAAGAAACTGAAGAACAAATCATAGAACGGCGAAGGAAACAACGTGAAGAACTGATGAAGGTAAATTTACTAACCAAGTGATTTTTTTATCAAATAATTGTATTCAATACCTAGATTTCTCGTGAAGTGCGACTTGGAATTAATTATTTAATGTTTCTTCACTTACATATTACTTCCACATAAAAGACCTTTGTTATGTTACATCAGCTACCCTCTATTAAAATTCCCTTCTAAATTTTGTAACCATATAGGAAATTACTTTGAACAAATTCAGACTTGCGGTTGTAATGACCCCAACATGGTTTTTTTTTGTTTTAAGTAATGCAAATCAATCATGTGCATGAAATATGAAATTTTTATTTAGCTATTAATAGATTAATTCATTATTAATTACAGCTACTGGGTGGAAAAGATAATAGTGTAACCAGCGGCAAACTTACACCACCATTAACGGAAATTAAACAAAAAACACCAAATGAACATTCAAAAGAAGTTACTGCTGCCAAAGAAAGTGAAGTTATAGTCACTCCGGAGCCAACCAAAAGCGTTGTAAAAATAGATGATAAAGCACATGATAATGACGCCTCAAATAACTCTGATAATACAAATGAAAATTCTTCAGCTGATGAAAAGAAAGGTAAAGGATGGGATATGTTTGCAGATCAAGACAACTTTAATAATTTCACTGTAAGTAGTTTTACACTTAACAGATTTGAACATTCTATTATTATTATTTAAAACTGTAATCAACAGTAGCCATTGATAAAATGTAGAAAGTAGTACACACTTCTTTTCGATAAGGTAAATAAGAAAGTGCTGGCTGATGATCTAATGATTTAAAAACTTTATATTGCCTGAAACCATGTGTTGAAAGATGTAGTTTGAGAAGTAACATGTTCTATCTGTGAAGAATTTTCCTTCTGATAGTGAACTCATCAGTGGCACTTAGTATGTTAGAAAGGAAATAAAGAAAGCAATATGTATTTCGAAGTTAATATTTAATGGTAAACATTTTTCACAGACTCCAACTGCTAGAGAAACTACTACTAAAAATACTATAGAGAATCCATCTCTCAATGACAATTGGGATGATGCAGAAGGCTACTACAGGTATGTTACGATAAATCTACATTTTTAAATCTGCACTTTATAGTTTGTCTAAATAAGATTGATTAGTTTGACAATTCTTTTGACAATTTAGTAGGGCGGGTTATAGTCCTGCAAGGATATTGTGGCTCCTTTTTGACCTGTTGAGCCCTTTAAATAGAATTTGTATTAATAAGAACAACTGTGAAGATCATTGTTAATCTCAACAGTCAAGTCTATTGGGTAGTTGTTTTTAATTGACTTACTATAATATATTTACTAATGTCTGCTTTCAGAGTTCGCATAGGAGAGACGCTCGATAACAGATATACGGTATATGGGTACACAGGCCAAGGTGTGTTCTCCAACGTCGTACGAGCTAGAGATTTGATCAGAGGCAGCACTGATGTAGCAGTCAAAATTATAAGAAACAATGAAATAATGTAAGTTGTATAATAACTTGCCATTCTAGATATTTACAATGCATTTGACTTGTGAATTCTTTGAGTAATAGGTATATGTAATTCTTTGGGCAATGTTGGTTGCTGGTCTTCTTATAATATGTAATCACAGTTTCCAGTTGATCATTGTTTTTAAATCCTTTTGAAATTTTACAGGCATAAAACTGGATTGAGAGAATTGGAAATTTTAAAGAAATTAAATGATGCGGATCCTGAAGACAAGTACCACTGTCTCAGATTGTTCCGGCACTTTTTCCACAAACGGCATTTGTGCATGGTGTTAGAGCCATTGTCTATGAACTTGAGGGAAGTTTTAAAGAAATATGGCAAAAATAGTGGAATACACATCAAAGCTGTACGAAGTTATACTCAACAAATATTATTGGCTTTGAAATTGCTGAAAAAAAGTAAAATTTTGCATGCGGGTGAGTACCTCAAACTATTTTTAGCTATTGTTATCTTTAGATTTCTACATTTTAATTTCTTTCAGTAATAACTTCATTTGAGGTTGATTAGGCAAAGCTTAAGATATGCATGACTTTGGCTATTGTCTATTAAAATACCATAATGCACAAACATTTAGCAATCTCACAACATCTTAGCAAAGATTAACTGCAAAATCAGTCATTCACTTCTAGAATATGTGGAGGTTAATCAAATATTAATTTTTATTTATACAAAGGTACAAAATACATAAATGTGCAATTTTTTTGTTTTCAGACATTAAGCCTGATAATATTTTGGTAAACGAAAGTAAGCTGGTTTTGAAACTTTGTGACTTTGGTGCGGCGTCACATATTACTGATAATGAAATAACCCCATATCTGGTATCTAGATTCTACAGAGCGCCTGAGATTATATTGGGAGTACCTTACGACTATGGCATAGATATGTGGTCTACCGCTTGCACAATATATGAACTGTCGACAGGTAGAATAATGTTTAGTGGTAAATCAAACAATGAAATGCTGAAATATTTTATGGAATTAAAAGGGAAGATACCAAACAAAATCGCGAAGAAGGGCCAATTTAAAGAACAACATTTTGATGCAAATTGCAACTTTTTATACCATGAATTGGATAAGATCACAGAAAGGGTAAGATATCTTTAAATATATTAAATAGCTTTAAATATATTAACATTATGACATTCATTTAAACAGTTTGGATTATTTACTAATATAAAATATTGCATTAAAGGTATAGTCTATTTCTGTCCATAGTAATTTTAACTTCAATTTAGTTAAAATAAATTGAGTAGTTAGGATACAAATAATTTTTTAACAATTAACAGAAGTAGAGCCACAATATTACACAATGATATGTTTGAATTTGTTCAAGTAAAATATATATAGTAACATGTTTAATCCAGATCATATTGAATGTTTAGAAAAAATATATTCTCTTATTACAGGAAAAAGTGGTAATAATGTCAAGTATCAAGCAAACTAGAGATTTGCAGTTAGAATTATCGCCTCCACACCATCGCCTGCCTCCAGAGGAAGCTAAAAAAATAGCCCAATTAAAAGACCTTCTTGAAAGAATGCTTATGCTTGATCCTTCAAAGCGAGCATCCGTCAACCATTGTCTCACCCATCCATTTATACAAGAGAAAATTTAAATATCCATTTGTTAAATATTCATATAATTGTCAATAGATTAATGTAACATTGAATATATGAAATCATTGCTTGTTGTCTATAGGACAGATGAATTATTTAATATTAGATTGTGAAAAGTACATGTTTCACCAAGTGTTGATCTACTGGGGCTATAGTAAATATTTTAAGATTACCATAATCTATTTAAAAACCATAAATAGTTCAAGAAAAAATAATTATTGTTGTATGTTGAACTAAAAATATGTCTGCGTGCGTTTTTCTTGTTCGTGATTAATGCATCAGGCAGCATATGTTAGTTGTTAAGAAACGAGAAACTTTTTTCACTTTGCAATCTATCGTTTTCCATTCACCCCGCCTCCAATCCTTAACATTAGTAGTTCATTTTTCCACATGTGTATATGTCATGTAGACTTTAGAAAATCCATTAGATATCTGAATTTATTACAACAAGAAGTTTGTATTTCATAGGATATTTTAGTTGATAGTACTTAAAGAGTTACGAAAGTCAAGCAAACAGTGGTTATAAAAAAATAATCATTCTATAATTTTGTGAAAATGAAAAGTATGCCCTGTGTTTTGTTAATTATCATCTGTATGTGTTAATGAATTGATGTAATAATTGCATAAAATATAAAGTAATAAACGATTTTGTACTACTTATGTGTTTATTTGTAGGTACTAGTTGAACTCGGCATGGGTCATCTGTACTCAGACATCCCCATCCTACTATTCTTGCAAAAACCTTCCATGTGTAGTGTAATTTCAGATTTGTTTCAAACAACTCATTGGACATCTTTATGGCAAGTTTACATTATTCCAGTCCAGCGCTAGTTATACTGGAAAAATGTAAATCTACACTGGAACTCACAAGATGCATTATTGTGTAAGTTAAAATTTTTACAGTTGTAAATTGTAATTTCCAAACGAAATCTGAGCATTGTTACATACTTTTGACTTTGAAACATGCCATCCCATTTCTCATTGACAAAAAGATATAATAAAACGTGAAATTTACAGTTATATCTTGAATTTCAATTTGCTTTTTCCAAATAGAATAGACAGTATGACAGTATTGCTGCAATACTGGCGTATCTACAGTGCAAAGAGCATATAAGTGCTACAGTGGAGATTCACAGAGATGCATGGAAAAGTATAGAACTATATAATCACGTTGTTTCATATTATGCCAGTACAGTAGTACAGTTGTTTATATACTGCAAGAGGTACAGATAGAACACACTCCTGTTTTATTACCTCCATGAACCACACAATTACATGACGTTTGGTCAAAATATGACGTTGTCAAGGTGACATTGTTAGATCACATATTCTTTGACTGAAGAAATTGAAATTGACAAGCAAATGCAAATGTCAAAGTAAATAATAGGTTATGTGTTTATGAATTTTATTTTATTTAGGTTTATGTAATGCCCTTAGGTAAATAATCATTTTATTAATATTTGTAACAACCACCTACTTAACTTCTCCCATAAGGTTTATTTGATGTTGTTTGCTGAATTGGAGACCTGGTCACGGATCCGTTGGTGGTAATGATTCATGAAACTCCTGTACTGTTAGCAAACAAAGCTATTCCCTGTGATTTAAATTATAGCCTTAAGTCGACTGCTCTTATTCTTTTCGGATATTGAAAGAAGTTTTACATTTAAAGTAGTCTGTTCCCATACCAAACAAACATATAGAGATAAATGTTTTTATATCAAAGTTGTTTTTGTTGTTAATCAGTTTGACACCATGTTTCCTGGTGACCATGCATTTAAAGTGCGTCGACTTTACAAACTTATTCTCCGGGTACATCGCGGAATGCCAGCGGAGCTGCGGGTTCTGGGTGATAATTATGCACGTGACGAATTTAAACGCCATAAAAACTGCAACCCTGCAGAAGCTAAAATTTTCCTCAATGAATGGACAGTGAGTACAAAGCTTTATAATTAAAGTAGCTCTTGGGCAGCTGTTAAGGTTTATTAAGATTTTATTGCTTCTAAAAGTACATCATATAAATATAATAAATGCGAAAGTTACGATGGATGGATGGATGTTTGTTGGTGCTTGTAGCCTAAATGGCTGAATGGATCTCGATGAAATTTGGCACAGGTTTAGAGCATAGTCTGGAAGAACACATAGGCTACTTTCTATCCTGGGAATTAGATATGGTTCCCTACGTTGATATACTTCGTATGTTTTCTAATACCATGCGGACAAAGTCGCGGGCAACAGCTAGTAGTTATTAATGGTTTCCCAGTATAGATATCGTTGGCCCAAAAAGTTTCATACTAACCTGGAACCTTATAAGTGAGAATGAATACTGATTTGACACAGACTAATGTTGACTGTATAATTTACTGAGATTAGTGCCTTTTTCTATACATTATGCTGTGTGGTCGCCCGGCTGTACCCTACCCAACTCCTGCACTGCTTACTCACATTTTATACATTTTAAATCAGGAAATAAATTTCATAATTTTTCCAGGATTATGCCATAAGTTTAGCTAAACAGATGAAACCATTACAACAGGCCAAAAAAAAAGCTGTAGGAAAATACCTTGACCCAAAGATGCTTGACTTTATGACTGAAGATCAGCTTATTCAATTGTATGAATTACACCAAGCTACATTGTCAGATCCAAAGAAAGCCGACTAATTACCATCACACTGATTGTTATTTTTTTACAAACAGTATTGTATGTATAGTAAAAATGTTATGAATTATCTTTATCAATTTGACTAGGTCAATAGACCTTAATTAACAATACTTAGATCAATCTGAAAATTATTTAACAAAACTACCTTTCATAATGAATAAATCACTTTTACTAAGTATTAATGACATAATATGTGTTTAATCATATTTCTGTATAATTTTCTCTATGAATTTTATTTTTAAGCCTTAGTTAAGAAGTATTTCATAATCATGTGATACTGCTGAAAAATTGTACAAGTAGAACTTATTTATTACTCACCTTAGGTTTTTTTTGGAGTGAATGAGATAGAATTTTTTTTTTTGGAAATCTTGTAAACCAAATATAATTTAATAAATAAAGTGAAATGTAATAAATATTTCAATAAATTATTAAGAATTAAACATTTATTTTAATTGTATATGCAGTTTTATATCAATCTCCACCCTAATTTGATTTCAGTATAACATTTTAAATACCACCGATTGTGTTTGTGTGAGCATATTTAAATTAACTTATTATGGAATTTAGAGCAATAGAGGAAGTGAAAAGAGAATATGATTCAATGAATATCACTCAGACTTCAAAAAAGTTTAAACATTTGAAAGGGAAAACAGTCAATCGGTTTTCTAAAGTGGTGTAATGTTTCTAGACCAATTATTTGAAAGGACTCTTACTATAGACAAGAGTGGAGGTGGGTTTTCTTCCGATTTACAAAAACTAATAGCTCTGAAGTACTGGGATTGAAAAGTGGTAAGAATACTCGCTTCCGCAAGCATCCACGACATAACTTCTCACCATTTTAACGAGAGAATTTTAAAAAATATTACGGATTTTAAAAACGCCGCCATTGAAGTCCGGTTCGGCGATGTCATGCGGTGTTGTCAGTTCAGGTGTTCGAATTTCAAACAAATAAAAGTAAACCTGTACGCCAATCGAAAATTTTACATGTAGAAACAAATAACTGCTTTGACATGACAGTAATAAATTATTGTTAACATTTTAAAAGTAAATATTTTTACTGCATTACATTACACCAATTGCCTACTTTTCTGCAAACAACGTAAGGGTTTATATCTGGCAACTCTAAGTCACTGTTAGAAACGGAATTATCAGACACGTGTAGCCCTCTCACTCGTTTCAATTTTATTTAGCGTGCACCAAGACTCTTACGCCCTTAGCATAAGGTTTTATTTTCTTTATTTTAACTACAAGAGGTACAGATAGAACACACTCCTGTTGTATTATTACCTCCATGATTTAAAGCAATGATCTGCTGCTGATGTCAGGGCACATATATTTTTTTATAATTATTGTCCTAAAACCATATTACAATATGTTCACTATGGCCAGAGATGGAAAAATGGTACAGTTATTGAGGCCTCGCTCGGCTTCAATTTTTCGACAAGAGCTAAAAAGGCGAAAAGGCTAGAGCATGTTCTAGTAGTACCTACATCCATGATGTTTGCCTACTAGGAGCCTGGCATGATAATATTAAAAGTTCTGAAAGGGCGAAATAAAATAGAACCATATGCATGCATAATGACAATTGTTTATTTCTTCTACTGACATTAAGTTGTATTATTTTAATATGCAACAAACAACATTCATTTCTACTTCAACTCAATTTTGAATGTTAGTTATTAAATAAGTAATTTTAAGACAGCATATGTTTTTGCAATTCAAACATAAGATAGTCTACATGGAAAAAAAAACTGTAGCAAACCAATCACACGATCCGTTTATATTGTGACATTGGCTTGTATTTCTTTATTTGTAATATGCAACATTTTCCTAAAATAGGAGGTGAAGATATGGAAAACACTTGATAATGAAATACATATATCCCCTAAAACAATTAATTTTATTCTACACATGCTAATGTGACATGTTTTTCAATTTCATAAATTTAAATTCCAACACGAATTACATTTACAGTATTCGGATTATATCCATTTTTATACATACATTAAGATATAAAAATGTCATTTAATATTAAATATACAGAAAAATACATATGTTATAAAAGGGATATTGACATTGAATAAACATGATAACAACATTATGTCAAGTTTCCATAAATGTATAGTCAAAATACAAACTGTTTTATTTGCAGTTGTTACATTAATAATACCACTGTGTAGTCATTGTAGACAGGCAGGTACAGAAATTGAAAATATAGAGGGGCTGAGACAATTCGGAAGTTTGACTACTACTTACAGACTTCAGTTTGTGCCAAAAAATATATGAAAAGGGCATTTGGAAGCGCTTGGACATTACAGTGTTAGGAAGTGTAGCAATACTTTTGTAGGGATTGAAAAGTGTTTACTCATATTATATACACATGTGCTAGATGTACCGACGACTAAGCGGCAATTACCATTACGACTGACCATTACATGGTCGATTAAAGTTAATTATCAAATATGTAGTGTTCACACTTCAATTGAATTCATAAAAATGTAACTTAATCATCAAAGAATTTAATAGATTAGGGATAACGCATTAACAATCAAACATGTTTGAAAAATGAGATATTAAAACTACAATAAAAAAAATATGCACATGTCTTTAAATTTCCATTCCATTTTTTTATTAACATATTGATGGAATATTTGTCTATGCCATTTATTTCATTTTTAAAGCAAATTAATTTAAATTACATTATTATAGTTTAAAACATCGTATAGACTACTTGTGTATAGAAATAATTCGAATCACACTTCCATTTATTTTGATAGCGATATTAATGTTAAGTTCATTTCTTACATTAAAATATAAAAAAAAATTCATTTAACTTTGGGAGTAAAAAAATAGTAAAACAAAGTTTCTGTGTGAAAAAAAAAAAACAAAGTGTAAAAGTTTTTAAAGTGCTGTGGTTAAAATGACTATATGTTTCAGCTACAAACGTCACAATTAAATTGATATGTAAGTGTATAAAAGA